CGTACATAAATACATAAATAGAGATTTACGCACCTGTGAATTGTTGCCGTCAGCCATTTCACTATGGTCTGTGTTTCGGTCTCTCCTCCCTAGACGATTAAACAGCTTCATATCGAATATATTTGTGCTCTTTCTTCCAGAGCTACACAATTACTTACTGGGAGCTATGCCTATGTAAAGAGGACGGAGTACAGATGTCATTCGGTGGTGCGTGAGCTTTGTGACGTGTATGCTCTGCGTGAAATTTAAATCACGGAGTTATTACAAATGCTTGTTGGTTAAGCTTTGGTTAGGGTAAAAAGACCGTTCCGGCTCTTTTAATCTTCAGCCTTCAGCGTTCTTCATAGATATTTACTTTTGCTCTTTCGCTACTAGAATGGCGTACAATATCGTGATACACGAGCTCGAGGCTGTGTACACATATATACATATTGTACACATTTGTACAATACAAATACATATTTACTCTTTATTATGTTTTTACAAACAAAGTACATACCTAAAAGTACTGAAATACACTTTCTTTAGCAGTTCGGTACAATCAGTTCAGACAAACGTTTTTTTTTTCCGTGTTCGACTCTTAACAGTCAACAGGTCGCTCACAGTCGCAACTCGCAAGACTCAAGCCTCAAATCTAAAATCTTAAATTGAAATCCCAACTACACTCAAGTTGAAGTCTCACAAGTCTGTTCACTTCGGCTATCAGCCAGTGCTTCACCGCCTTCCGTTGCTCAGCTCTCCAAAGTTCCTCACAACTTGTACCAATGAAAAAGATTGCAATGCTTTTTTGAGCAAAGGGCCTTCACGTGTGAGCTACAATAGGTCAAATGATAAAAAAAATCAAATTTGGTAGTATCTGATGAGCAAATTTTGAAAATCATCACGCTCATTTTTGACATCATGATTTGAGGGCCTCGGAGGCTCGGAACGATATTGCGTACATACGGTACGACCGTACAATGTACAAACGTGTGCTAGTAGGAGAGTCAATTCGAGAACGTTTGCTCGTTGTTTTTGTTGTTAGTACATGCTATTGATATTTATGGAATATGCGTGGGGTGAAGTTAACATAGTGCGAGGCTGGAGGTAGTAGTGATAATAGTTTAATACAACATATAAGTAGCCTTTCGGCATCCAGTAATTGGCATTTTAGAATAAGACTCAACGAATTCGGTGGCGTCTCAACCTAATCGCAAATACGGACAGAGAACAAGCCCGCAGAAAACGAAATCTAGCAAAGATCAGCAAACAAATATATAGAGGCAGCGATATTTTCACACAATGGGTGACAGTAATATAATCAAAGCCGCCCAGTACGCCATGTCGGGTCTGGACAAACTTTCTCTTGCGCCAGCACTACCGAACCCTACTGGTTCTTTCAGGTATGAATGAAAATACACATATACATAGACTTCTAATAGCATTCATATCTATAAATATTTGTATCATGCATCTATATATAAGTCTCTCCCCCCCCTCTTCTCCACGCACACACACACACACTCTCTCTCTCTCTCACACACACAAACACA